ACAGGGTGGCTGTGCTGAGACAGCCCGGAGGCGTCCCTGTGTAGGCAGAGCAAATGGATAAATGGCTTAAATGTTAATCTAGCATCCACTGAAATGTGGGCGTGACAAATCTGTCTATGGAATAAAGGGATGGGATCTCTACTTCTTACAGCTGCTTTATTAAACTAATTTGTATGCTGCTGCCTGTAGCTGTAGGTAAGGCCTCATACTGAGGGGTGCAGAGCTAACACAGCCATGTAACACGAGCCCGTGTGGTGACCCCTGAATTTCCTTTCAGTTATTCAGTCAGTTATTCATCTGGGGAGTTAAAGAACACAAAAATTCCCAAGTATGTTAATGGCCATCCCATGTAAGAGGAAAAGTGGTGAGTATTCATCAGCAGGGCTTTCTGTTGCAGCTCCTTTCCTCTCCAGGCTTGTCTTGTCATGGGTGCCAAGAAGTCTTTTTATTTTCCACAGTAAAATTACAGACTGCTTGAAGTCATATCCAGGAAAGTGTTGCTGGGAACTCCAGAAGTAAGAAGCTGGGAGGAGGGAAGTTACTCATTTCCATGGGAATTTAAATGGAATTGGTTTTACTTACGTCTTAACGTTTCCTCTGTATTGAAATGCTGCAACCTGGGAAGCAGCATGTTTGTATTTCTATACCATTGTGTTAATAAAGACCTTGATTTTGTAGCCTTCCTTATTGAATAATCTGACCTAATTTAATTGGAATTTGGCTAATGTGAAAGGTTTTTCTGATTGCTTTTGCTCTTGATTGCTTCTATTAAAACTTTGTGATCTGGAAAGTAGTATGTTTGTATTTACTTTTCACCACAGCAACAGAGCCCTGAATCTGCAGACTCTCCATCAAACAACGTGATGAAGAGGAATAGCAGAGTTAATCTAGTTTCCTATTGATTTTTGCCATTATTATTAAAATCCCCTGATGTGGAGAGCAAGGTGCTTCGTTAGAGTCCCAGTCACGGAGTTGGGGTTACTCTTGCAGAGATTTTTTGCTCCTCAGCTGAGGAAGCCCAAATTTGGCCGAGGGGGATTAACCCGGAATAAACCAGGGCGGGTTGAAAAGATGAGTTTGGGCTGCCGAGGGGGTCGGAGCCGGGATGGGGGTCGGAGCCGGGCTTGGGGGTTAGAGCCGGGATGGGGGGTCGGAGCCGGGATGGGGGTCGGAGCCGGGCTTTTCCCAGCAGCTGGAGCGGCTGGGGGGCTCCTGGGCCTGGGCGGGTCCCGGTCCGCGGGGGGCGCGAGGGGCCGCGCGGGCTCTGCGGGACCCGGGCACGGGCTGCGGGGCTCGGGCGGCCCGG